TGGAGTAGAAGCTGCTATTCATGCTCTTAGAACTATGTATGAAGATGATGACACTCATGGTATTCTTCTTGTTGATGCAGATAATGCCTTCAACCGTTTAAACCGGAAAGTTGCCCTCCACAACACAAGTGTGATGTGTCCCGAGCTGTATAAATATCTTGTTAATACCTACAGAAAAGCAGCAAAACTGTACATACCAAACTCCAAGGGATTGTTTATTTTATCCCAAGAAGGTACTACTCAGGGGGATAGCTGTGCTTCTGTTTGTTTGGGCCCGAACGGTGCCGGTGGTTCTAATGACCATTTACTAAAATACATAAATACAAAATACAATTTAGTATAAATATTATAATCAGAAGTTTTATAAATCCTATCCGTCCAAGTTAAACTTGAAGGGCGCTACACGCACGACGAAAACTCCCTTTAATGTGAGCTGAAGTAGACTACTAGTAGTAGAGCTAGTAGCGCTTGAAATTGACAGAACTGAAAACGAAATCTGACAATTGTCGCGAAAACTGACAGTTTTGTGTGCTCAAAGTGTCGAGAAATACTGACAGTGCAAGACTGGGCACACAAGAGTGAGTTAAAACATCCTCCACATAAAAACTTGAATACACTAATAATAATCAATTATTACACACAAGCTCATTCTGCAGTCTTATTAGTCTTATCAGTACTCTTTATAGCACCGTTTCTGATAAAGTGTAGCTTATCAGGCTGCTCAGTTACCAGTCGTTTCATGTCCCTGACGAGTTCTCTTTGCTTGGCTCTCTGTTCTGGAGATCGATCTGGGCTGATAAAAACAGTTTTAAACTTTTCCGTTGCTCGCAGGTTTCTTGATTTAGCGAGAATCTGATTAACAATTGTTGCACTTGCCGCAGTCACTTTAACTGGTCTCACAGCCTTGCCAGGTTTGAGCTTTCCGACTCTGCTAGCTTCGATTCTGGGTTTCTCTCCGATTGCTAAAAACACTTCACTGACCACGGTGCTGAGCTCCTCATTGTCCTGCTCCGATAAACCAAAAATCATCAGATTTTTGTTACGGTCTTCCTCCTGTACCACAGTTTTCACAGCTGTCTTGATCATTTCAGAACTGACAGGCTTCTGAGATTCTGGACAATTCGCCTGTAATACCGAGCTGAAGGATTGGAATTCAGCCTTGACAGACTCTCCGACTGACGATTTAACTGACGTCTGCAACGATTCCAACTGTTCATTTTTGCAGGCTAGTAGTTCTGACTGCAGCTTAATGATGGTCTCCTGTGTCTCGAACATCTGATGTTTAACTGAGTTTGAGGCCATCTTGTAGTCCGTGGATTCGACACCAGTGAACTCCTCCAAATATCTTAATGCCTCGTGCAACAAGTTACACGCAGTGTCCTTGTTCATCTTCTTCACGCACGAACGGGATAGTTGCTTCATTGCTGTGATCTCCATCTCGTACATAGCCTTGCTGAGAAGTTCAACTGAGTCACTCCTTAACATGCTGATATCCTTTTCACCATACTCGCTGGGCGGGATGGTCATGGTCGTGTAACACGGTGATACACAACCCACTGTAGCTGCACGTTACAATTAACAGAGATAAGCACTAAGATAAGAGAGTAAGAAAAGAGCAACGTATGCAATTAGTGTAATACTGAACTGCATTTTACTCCTGTAGCCTGATGCCCCTTATGGACAAACTCCCCACAGAGCCACCAGATATCTCTCCCGTGGTCTATGAGAACACGAAACCTCCCCAGAAGCCTCCAGAGGAGAACAATAAGATTGAGACACCGCCAGATACAACTCCAGATAGGACTCCGGAAGTAAATAAGCCCTCCAACAAAGCTGCTAAACACATATTGTTTGCAGATGATTCTGGAGCAGCAGGAAGGCTTAAAGCCCTGAAGATTTGGTGGGATACCCTACAGTCATCTGGCCCCGTTTATGGCTATTTTCCCAAACCTTCCAAGACATGGCTTATAGTTAAAGAGGAGTATCAAGAGGAAGCCAAGTCTCTCTTCCCCGACCTTAACATCACCACCGAAGGTTGTCGTTACCTGGGTTCCTTTATTGGTAAGAGTCTGGAAAGAATAAGTTTATCCAAGTCAAATGTGTTGAATGGATAGAAGAGATAGAGGGATTGGCATCAATTGCACAGCATGAGCCACACCTTGCTTACGCCGCTTTTGTTTACGGCTCCTCTCGCAGATGGTCTTTCCTGATGAGGAACACCCCTGACATGGCAGTGAACTTGCAGCCCATTGAGGACAAGATCAGGAATTTGCTCATTCCCAAAATGACAGGACACACAATTAGGTCCAACTTTGAGCGCAGCCTGTTCTCCCTCCCAGACAAGTTAGGTGGACTAGCTATCATCAATCCAGTAGAAATCGCTGATAATGAGTACAAGAACTCACTTATGGCTAACCAGCAGCTTACAGACCACATCCTGAAGCAACACACCACTCTCAATACCAACAGAGAGGCTGGGAAAGCAGTCAAGTCTGCCATTAGCCTGTCTAATGCCAAGAGGTATCACTCAGTGATACCTCTTGGCAGTGGAATAAATTTGGCAGTGGAATAAATTTTAAATATGACTAGGAATGGAGTTTGGGGGAAAAAAAAGACTATATATTTTTCGGCCGCTTCGCGGCCGACTGGTCACAGGTCAGCTCTTGTTCTAATTGACGTGTGTTCTCCCATTGCACATTGACAAGCTGTTAGCTACTTATTTATGACTTCTTCTTAAGTAAGTTGGACTTACGGATGTAAATCAGGAAGGATTCTCAAAAGGCAAGAATACTATTAGATACCTCAATCGACTGACTGTTGGTATTAAAGGTGATATTATAAAGAAGCTTACGGTACTTTGCTTGTTTATCGACTTCGAAAAGGCATTTGATTCCGTCTGGAAGAAAGGTCTAATTGTTAAGCTCTGGAGAGCTGGTGTTCATGGCTGTTACCTAAAAACTATAGACAGTTTTCTATTTGGTCGCACAGTGTGCCTATTAATAAATGGATTCCTTGGCCCTGTAAGGGACTGCTTGGACTATGGGTTACCACAAGGATCTGTGCTGTCTCCTATTTTGTTCAAATTCTTCATTATGGATATTGAGGCAGTCTGTTCAGTGTACCAACAAATAAGTGTGTTAAAATTCGCTGATGATGGTACTGTGAAAGTGGTTGGTAGAGACTTGGAAGAGTGCCTTTTCTATCTCAACCTGGCTATGGACAGCATTGAATATTGGACCTCCTGTTGGCGCATAGTTATTAACTGCAACAAAAATAAGACTGAAATTATATGCTTCAACTGCTATGATCATGCTGGAGTCCCGACTTCATTCAACCTTGGAGGGAAAACAATTCAGTTAACGGATCAGACAAGGGTTCTTGGTGTCATTTTGGACAGTAAGTTAACCTTCAAACAGCATAGCAAGTATGTATACAACTATCTAGTATACCGCTGGGTTTGTATGAGCCGTTATGCAAACAGAAACTGGGGCATGAACCAAGCAGTTATAGTGAGAGTGACCAAAACAATTCTGTTCTCGACCTTGTTTTATGGTTCTACCATATGGATGAACAATTCAAATATGTCAGACATAAACAAACTATGGTACAGTGTCTAAAGCTGCAGTTGGAGCTGTTTTCAACGTCCATGGGGCCATTCTTGAAGTCATTCTGGGTGTGCCACCACTCCAAACTTTGGGAAGAATAATCTCGATCAAACACTACCTCAAGGTTCTCCATGACTCAAATGACATTCACTATGACTTTGTGAAAACTCAGCTAAATGAAAAGAACCCAACAGTGCTCTGTCATCTCCGAGAGGTGCAGAAGTTCCTACAATGGAAAGCAGAACATTTTAACACAGAAGTTCAGGCCTGTGACCTCGGTGAAATCAGCCACAGAAACCTGGACCACATTCTGCTACTATCCCCAAAGACTTACAAGTACACCAAGGGAATGATACAGCAATTCACAGAGCTACTTTGGCAAGAAAGTCTACAAAACCTACTACTTATGGAAGGATGGTCTGATATTCCAAGAGTCTCCTGCAACCCCCTTCCCATCCCCTTTGGAGTGAGCCGCGAAGTGGAAGTATTGGTTATGAGTCTCATGTACAAGAACAATCTACTGAACTCGTTTCTCTTCAGAGTTGACAGAGCAGCGGCCTCTCCGCTGTGCATCTGTGGCTCGGATGAGCAAACAGCACTGCACCTACTATCAAGTTGTGAGCTTGTGGACACAAATCTACAATGTCAAGCGGAACGAATCATCACCCTGTGCAACAGCGGTAGGCCCATAGTCGATCTAGCAACTGAGCAGGGCTCCATCATATTGAACTGTTCAAGGGACGATATATTTATAAGTGTGTGTGTTAAAATTGTAGAAACGAGGGGTTAAATCTTAAGCGGAAGATAAATCTTTCGAAAAGATAAGGCTTTATTATAGCATTTAATTTTGCTAATTTTGCTACTATTATGATAAAGGATTAAATACCAAGCATATTGAAGTGTAGAATAGTGTTATTGGACTATGTTTATTTGAAAACAATCACCTTTAAACTAGATATTGTTGTAATAACAAGGGAATGAGTTTTTATATTTGAGCTGTTCAGTTCACAGGAAAGCAGATATGGACTGCTTTAAAACTTTTATTTTGGATAACGTTTGTTTCAGTAACCATTAAGAACCAGTGGCCTTTTGTAACTGCATCTTCAACCTCAGTTTCATTTTTGAAACGTCAAAAGACTGGTAAAGTCAAATATTTTGTTACATAAACATTTTTATCAATTTTTGAAGGGTAGTAATTGTTCAGATCATAATTTTTATACGTAACTATTAATGTTTTTTAATAGCTATTAGCAGGGTAAAATTTGTTAGGTGTGTTTCTGTAAATCTCTATTGGAAATTAAAGTTTTTGATCTCTACTATTTATTGTTATTAAAATGCTCATTGTAGCCAGTTATTTTTAAAAGATTTTCATCATCATCATCTTAAGTCGTAATAGAGTTTTAAACTAATTACAACACTACAAATCTATTACATTTATTGAGGTATGAGATATGATAGACGAGCGTAAGTGTTGACGTGCAAAGGACTGCTGTGAGTGTACTTGAAGATTACTCATCCTCCTCCTTCTCATCAAAACTATTCTCATCAAAACTACTATCTGGACTGAAGGTATTGCGTTTACAGTGTTTATTGTGCTTCTGAACATTGAACTCTTGATAATATAACTATGTCAAATAATCAGAGCTCAGACATTAGTCTCCACTCTTGTGAGCGCCCTTTAGAACATTTGAACTTTTCATTCCAGTCCGAAAAATCAGAGAACTGTAACAATTGTCTGTCAAAAGACATCAAGATTGACTTTTTAGAAAAAAAGTTGTCTTTATTGAATGAAATTATCAGAACTAGTGATCTCATTGCTCAGTACAATGATAGTCTCATATCAGATCAAACTCAAATACAAGAACAGAGTTTTAAGTGTGAAAATTTGCTGCCAAACTTATCAGAGGAGATTGAATGTGAGATCATAACCATTACCCCTCAGTCACACGTTGTTATCAATCAAGTAGAAGCGTTTGATGTAGATGACATTGTTGTGGAAGATGTTGTATCGGACAGTCTGTTTGTTGACAACGATGTCGTGGACAAGGTTGTTCCACAGGAGGTTGTTGGAAACGAGATTGTTATCAGTGAGATTGTTGTTAACGAGGTTATGGCAGACGAGGATGATGTGTCTGATCTCCCTGTATCTACTGCTACTGGTGAATCACGGATCAACACCCCTAAGCCCAGAGACAAATATCCAAACTTGGTCCCTGCCCCTGTCTACGATCCTATAACACCGGGGCCAATGAATATATCTGTAACTTGTTCCCCATCACCAGTGAAACCAGTTACCCTACTAGATGATGGTCCATTCTCTAATTTTTCACTTGATCTATTAATGGAAGAACTTGAGTTCAGTCACGGTTTTAAAAACAGGAAATCGGTTTATTTTGGTGACTTTCCCTATGAGTATTCAGGTGCAACACATGACCCAAAAAGTGTACACAATGATTCCTACCTTGCTAAACTCAGCTCCTACATTAATGTGATATTACCCAATTTCAGACACAATAGTATTCTCGTCAATCTATATGAAACTGGAGCAGAGTTCATGCCAGCTCATAGCGATTCTGAATCATGTATTGTAGAACACTCTGATATTGTAACCATTTCACTTGGTGCGACGAGAACACTGCAAATTAGATCAAACGGCAGCAATGAAGTTGTGGGCTCTGTGCAGCTTCAGCATGGAGATGTCTTCATCATGTCCAAATTGTCTCAGGCTGACTTTCAACATGAGATACTGCCAGACGAAATGTGTGATGAACCCCGGATCAGCATCACCCTAAGACTGATGAAGCCCCCTAGGATCACTCAGTCAACTGAGTTTGGTCTGCGTTCACCGCCCCCACCCATCCCTCATTCAGGACACAAACTGACAGACTCTTCTTCACCTGCACTCTCAGTTTGCAAACAGTCAGCTAAAGCTTCACAAAAGTCTGTCCTATTCATAAGCAGCTCTATGTTCAGGTTTCTTGATGCGGACAAGTTATCATCGTCCACTGTTAGTGCTAGTAAACTGTTTTATCCTGGGGCTGATGCCAAAGTAATGTTAAATAAACTAAAAACTGACCTACACTCCGTTCCATCCCCATCTATTATTTATATTATGACAGGAACTAATAATGTGAACACAGTCTATTTTGGCTCAAAGTCACTGAAGGATGCAGCGGGTGACATTAGTAATCTCTTAAATTATCTCAAGTCAGTGTATCCGAATGCAACAATTAATGTTCTCAATATTCTTCCCAGGAGTACAAAAGGCCGCAATGATGTTGTGGCAGAGCTGAATAAGGTTATTAAGGATATGTGTAGCAAAGATTCTTGTTTTAATTACATTAGCACCCATAATTTATTTAACTATAATAGAAGTGGATTCAGGAAAGAATTTTATTTTGCCAGACCATCTGCAAAAATATCTGATAACTGTCACCTCAATACAAGCGGTGTTATTCGACTTGCTAAATTTCTGAAGTATTGGGCCCATAAGCAAGTTTGAATTTTCAGAAAGATTGTTAACATTTATTTCATCTAGATAAGGGATAATTACACATTGTTCCTCATGTTTATTGAAGTTTTAGAAAGTTTTGTTATTATCTCATACAAATTTGCCAGTTCTGCAATTTATCTTATTCTGACAAGTTTATAGCAGCATAAATTGGAAAAATTTTCATGCTCTCACAGCAGTTCTTGCATTAACCCGTGCATTAGTAAAATCACAGTTTCATACCATGCCAAAAAGCTTGCAGTGGGACATTGCAACATGCAGGGAGGACTAACAGGTATGCCAAAATGTCTTGAAATCCAAGATCTAATCTGGAAAGAGAAATTAGATGTTTTATGCCTGAATGAAACAAATCTTAAGTCGGATATTGACTCAGCCAGTCTAAACCTACCCAAGAATTTTACTTTTATCCGCAAAGACCGTCCTAACGACAATGGTCATGGGGGATGTGGCATTCTCATCAGTGAGCACATAAAGTTTAAAATGATTCAACTAAACTTAGTTTTGCAATATGACCAAATCGAGGCTATTTGGATCCATCTTACAGATTGCAATATTTTCATCTGCTGTTTCTACAGATCTGAGTTGTTTAGTCCTCTTGACAAATTTTTAGATTATATGACAGACTGCATGATGAGTATAGGAAGTAAGAATGTTATTTGGCTGGGTGATGTAAATGTAGACCAAAACAACATCAGCAGTATGAACTATAAGAAATTAGACATTACAATGAAAATGTTTGGAATGGTACAGGTAGTTCAGGATATTACCCGCATTGCTAAACTAGGAAACAGAATCACAAAGACCACAATCGATGTTGTCATAACAAACACTTACTCCAAGTTTCTTGACTGCAAAGTCCTTGATGATTGTATAGGAGATCATCAGGTCGTAAAGTTCATTGTCGATTTCAATGTGCATAAGGCCTCAAAATTCAAGAAGTTACTAATAAGAGATCACAGCAAAATGAATGTTACTGCTCTTAAAGAATTTTTGGAAACTTGTGATTATAGACCAATAATAGATTCAACTAGTCTGAATGATGCAGTTGATGGTTTAAACGAACATATTGATCACTACTATGATCACTTCTGTCCAATTAAACAAATTAAGTGCCATAGTGATTACATCCATAAGCCATCTCCAGAATTTTTAGAAAGTAAGAAATTGAAAGGGAAACTTTACCGTAAATTTTTAACACACAACAAGAACAGACGTATACATCCAAATGGTCTTATACACTGTAATAAATGTGACTCATTATGGATGGCATATAAACGGCAGAGAAACTATTCAACCTATTTGTCTAGAATTAATAGGAAGACTAACTTAGCAACAGAACTGAAAGCCAAGTGTGCCATGAATGATCTAAAGGGTGTATGGAAAACGATAAAGACAGCATCAAATCTGCCTGTTAAAGCTAACAATATCAATAACAATCTTGATGCTGAAACCACCAATAAATATTTTGCTGAAATAGGTCCAAAGATCCAAGCAGAAGTGCAGCTGGAAAATGAAAATGAATTTCTATCTTATCTACAAAATGAGCAGATTGACAACGAGACCAGCTTGAATAGCTTTACTGAAATAACTGAGTCCAATATCTTAGACTATGTGGCAAGTATCCCTTGTAGCAAATCCACTAATGATCATATACCATTGAGAGTGTTTAGACAAATTTTACCTGCATTTATTGCTCCATTAACACATCTTGTAAATTTGAGTTTATCCAGTGGCATCATGCCAAACAGCTGCAAGGTTGCAAAAGTCACCCCAATCCATAAGGATGGTGATACTGAGAATCCTAGTAATTATCGACCAATCTCAATTTTACCGATTCTTGGAAAGTGCATCGAATTTTGTGTGAACTCCCAACTGACTCAATATCTTGATGAAAAGGGAATACTTTCAGAGCATCAATATGGTTTCCGTAAAGATCACTCTACAACTTATCTCATGTTAGATCTGTTTGATCGTATATTTACTGCTAAGAACAGTGCCAAGCATCCTGCAATTATCTTCCTGGACATCAGAAAGGCATTTGATACTGTTAACCATGATATTCTCATTCAAAAGCTGAAGCATTATGGAATAAAAGATACTGCATTGAGCTGGTTTAGGAGCTTCCTCACAGATAGATTACAGCAAACTAGAGTTGGGAGTAGGATAAGCAGTTTACATTCATTGAACTCTGAAGTGCCTCAAGGAAGTATATTAGGACCAATTCTATTCAGCATTTTTATCAATGACCTGCCTAATGCATGCCTATTTTCTAAACCTTATCTATTTGCTGATGACGGTGCATTATATTTTGACAATATATCTAGAGGAAACTATGGTAACATCAAACAAGAGTTGAAATTAGTTATCAGATGGCTTCAGGCTAATAAACTATCCCTGAATAATGAAAAAACAAAACTAATGATCCTTGACTCTAAGCCTAACCTTGATGCCATCCTTGTTGAAATTTGTGATGACCTTACTTTGGTAATCTGTGAAACTAAATCCCATAAGTACCTTGGACTTATAGTTGACAGCAGATTGACATTTAATGAACATATTGATAACATTAAGAAAAAGATATCCAAAAGAATTGGTGCTATGTATAGATCAAAAAAACTTCTCCCTCTTAAGTTCAGGAAGATGTTTGCTAATGCACTTATGTTGCCACATTTTGACTACTTAGACACCATCTGGTCAAGAACATATAAAAAACGACTAGGAGAGTTAGATATCATGTACAAAAAGGTTGCTAAAATAGCCCTAGATGTAAACATCAGAGAGAGGTCAGTTAATGTATACAAAAATATGGGATGGCTTCCTCTCCATTTGAGACGACAGGTTCATCTTAGCTCATATATGTACCGTATAATCAATGAAACATGTCCAAAGCATTTTATCGGGAAATTCTCGTATATTTCTGGTGGATCACGT